TTACTTACATAACAAACAAAATGATGCACAAATGAATTTGTGATGTGTCTTCAAAATTCAAATAATCATTTTTAATTAAAAAAATGAAAGAGAGCCACGTAGGACTATTAAGTTGTTGTGGATCTCTGCATATTGTTAGTAAATGGGAAAATTAGTTAAAAATCCTTCTTTTGCAAATTAATTTGGTAATGAGACTTGTAATAAATGTAAAGGTATGGGTTCCTCAAATGTTAATAAAAGTGATGGGAAAAAGATTGCATTTCTCTCACGGGTGCTAATTGTATACGACGGATCCTTACTTGCATATTATGAATTCTCACTTGCATATGATATATGCTTATTTGTCTATAACAGATACTCACTTTTATATGATAGATGCCTACTTACATATAAGTTTATTGTATCATACGGATACTAATTGCATATAATGGATGCTCACTTTTATATGATAGATCCCTACTTGTATATGGGTTCTGATTGCAAGTTAATGCTTAATATGAATGATAATTGCATATGATGGATTTTCACTCACATGTGACATGATAGATGTTTACTTACATATAAGTTCTTATGTTATTGCATATGGGACCCATAATATGCAAGTATTTTTCACATTATGCAAATCACCTCCCTTAACATACAAATACCTTCCCATAATGTACAAATCACTTTCCCGAATGTGCAAATTCCATAATATTAATTTGCAAGTAAGAATTTGTTTGTGAGCAATGTACAAAGGAATTTATTTATATAAATAGTAATGTAAATGCATGCAAGTTTAGATTAATAATATGTAATTAGGATATGTAATATGTAATAAAGTCTCATATACAACTTGGCATTACCAATATACGATTAGTATCAGCAATATGCAGATTTGGATCAATAATATGCAATTAAGATCTATGATATGTGATAAGATTATATAAGCAACTAGATATATGTAATATGCAATTAGGATTAACCATATGCAACTTTAGATCAACAATGTGTAATTATGATTTGTGATATATATGCTACTAGGCATCACCAACAATTAGAATCAGTAATATGCAAGTTTAGATCAACGATATGCAATTAAAATCCTTAATATTCAATTAGTAGAATTAGTTATATACAATTTTAGATCGATAATATACAATTAGGATAATTTGGGTTTCTCCCACTATAATTAATTACAGTCAAGGACCTAAAAGTCTTAGGTATCATTGCTTAATTAATTTTTCAAACAGGGGTTTATCTCCAATTTTATTTTAACAAATTGTTCGGTGATTTTGTAATATGACTGAAAAAATGTTAGGTGATTCGATGCAGTTGAGAGGGTCACGTGAAAGAGCTAAAAATAGTCAAAGAGCCATGTCGTATTACTACCAAGTCTACACCCATCTTACCGAAAACAACAAAAGTAGATTTTAGAATATATATATACACACACACTACCTCCGGTCTTTAATATAAAACCCTTTTTGACTTTTAGTTTGATCTTAAATATAAGACTTCAATCCACTTTGTCTCTCATATTTATACATTTTTTTCCAAAATAACCCTTCTAACAATGATAGTTCTAGTCAATACATTTGATTAGCAAGGATATTTTAGGAAAGACAACACTTGTTTAGGACAAATAACTAACTCAATTACTTCCTTAATCTCCTCAAATTAGTCAACTGGCTCTTATAATTAGGACCGGAAGTAGTATTATACATGGAATTGAACGGATTATTTGGTTGCAAATTTTGTTGTTCTCTTCTGGGGTGATTGTTTTTCTATCACACAATAAATTCATCAAATAAATTCCTCACAGAACTAGCTTTGGCCCCACAACAACAAACCAGTGGAAAATGGTATTTCACATAACGTCACAAGCCACATGTGGCCGTGCTGCGAGCTATACTCATTTTCTTTTCTTTCTTTCCCTCCCTTTCTTTTTTTCTTTCTTTCTTTCTTTCTTTCTGTTTGGCCTAACGGTCAGACTTTGAGCCAACATGTGACATATATGTTGACCGGTAGGATTAATTTATAATCAACATTAAAAATTTATCGCACTTTCTGAGGATTGAGACACCAGGTTTCAGAGCCGGAGGCAGAGGCAGCCCCACAATCAGAAATTACCCCCACTCTTCGTTTCTTCTTCTTCTTCTTCTTAATATTTCCAGAAACTCTGTTTCACTTAATGGGTACAGAGAGAAATCAAATGAGTGAGAAGATGATTGACAGTACGCCATTGATTACTCATTCTTCGGGTTCGGGACACAACAACTTTGACAGAACAGGTATGATCTGTTTTTCTGCTGCTATGCTCTGTTTCAACAACTCTTTTATTATGCTCTGTTCTTCTTCTGAATTGCTCTGTGAAAAAGATGAACTGGGCTTCTCTCGTTTCCTCTTAAGGGAGAAGATGGAAGGATTAATTGAATCGTGTGATTATGAAACAATCCACAAATGAAGTTTGCTAACTGGTGGCGTGTGTGTGAAGGGAATGTATGGAGTGCGGCGGCGCATATAATAACAGGGGTGATAGGGGCGGGGGTTCTGTCGCTGGCGTGGGCGACGGCGCAGCTAGGGTGGATCGCAGGTCCATTGTGCATCATACTGTTTGCGATCACGACCCTTGTTTCTGTGTACCTCCTTTGTGACTGCTATAGATTCCCTCATCCTGAGACCGGAGAACTTCGGAACCGCTCCTTAACTGATGCTGTCAAGCTTTACCTGGGTACGTCCTATCCATATCTCACAGTGTCTGAAATTTGAGGTATTTTTACAACTTTTATCTTAATTAATCAATGCTTAATGTACAAATTTAAGGCATTCAAAAGTTTTTTTTAAGTATGAATTTGTCCTGCAAATTTTTTACTGCCAATTTTAGTTTTTTAATAATGAGGCAAAATTGTTACATTTTTAAATTTTTGGGATAAATTTACATTTAAAAATTTTTTTGAGTGCCCAACACTTTTGACTGAATATGCACCTTAACCCAATTGATTAATTATATGTCTTTTTTATATATATTTTTTATATCAATTCTCTCTCATACTCGCTTTCTTATAAATAAGAATATATTTAAAAAATATAATTTTTACATATTTATTGCTTTTAACTTATTTATTAATTTATGTAATCTTGTTATTTGTATCTTATGAAAAAAAAAGAAAGGAAATACTAAGGTATTTTGGTTTTTATTTTATGTAATATCAACATTAGTGACGATGCTAATTAATCCTCCTTCTCAACATTCTTTATCCAAAACATTAAGTTTTTTTTTTTCAAGTACTTTACTTCAATATTCGTTAACCAAGTAAATGCCATCTTGTTGTAAATAAATCTAATTGAAAGTAATTTTGAAAAACCAGAGTGTGTCATCCAACTTAAACTCATCTTAAAATGATTGTAGTGTGTATACTTTAGTGACTGGTGGTATGTTTATATGGTATTTTTAACATTTTTATTGAAATTAAGAAAAATTTTTTAAATTTCATTAACCCAGTGTTAAAATTTAATAAATTTTTAGCATTATCCTTGTTTAAAAAATATCATTTTACACAAGTAACTTATAAGTAAAATCATACATTTTTCAGTCCAAAAAAAGGCAAAATCATACATTCATTTAATAAATAAAAATATTTTCTTTCTGTTTTATAAATAGAATGAGAGGAGTAGTTTATATTTTAAAAGTCACCAGCTCTTTCTTAAGCACCAAGATCATATTCCGTACTTTTTAACCACAAGACAATTAGACGCCCCGCGGGTTATGCTAAAGTTGATGAAGGTTCACTCCAATATCACATGGTACTGAGGTGGGCAAAAAATTGGGCTACTGGGTAGGACAATAGGCCCCCACGATGGCTTCTTTGGTCCAGTCCAATTATTTTAAAATATTTTTCATATGATATTTAATTTTAGTTAACTAATTTGAGTAGATTAAAAAAGTTTGTTAAGTTAGTTATTTGTAATAAATAGATGATGCATAAGATATCCTTACTAATCAAGCGTATTAGCTTTAACATTTAATAAAACTTTTAACATATACAATTACTACAAAGACTACCTTAAAAAAATAAATAAATATAAAAGAAGAAGTGAATTTTGGTCTTATACTTAAGAACAAATTAAATTAAACAAATTCTTATAGTAGTATTAAGAATCAGAGGTAGTAGTACTTCATAATTTATCCAAAAATCTAGCTCTACCATATTGTAACCCTGAAATGGGGTTTGGTCAAGTCGGGCTAAGCAATGGACTAGACCAATAACCATATATCAAAGAAAATGGGTGAAAGTACATCTTTCAACTTTTGATTTTATATATGATTTTAATTTTATCCTTTAAAAAAATTATAGAGCATGTTTTCAATCATCTAACTCAAATAATATTAGTCTTAAATTATTTGTTCATACCAATCATTATTATTTATAAAAATAAAATTTAATATGTCAACATTTAATGTTAGTATTTTTTGTTAGCAATGTAAAAATTAGAGAATTAAAAAGATAATATTTGTGTTTCTTAACATAAGAATTAGACAAGACGTTCACTTTGGTTCTAAATATAATATATTAATTCATTTTGTCTACTAAATATATAATTTTCTACTTAAAATATCTCCATTGATCATATATATTAAGAGGTTTTATTAAGGAATAATTTCATTGAATAAGATTATCAATAATTTAGAAAATTTAACACTAATTTATTATAAATAGTTATTTAATATCTTCTTATATTAAGAATCATAGGCAGTACTTTATAAAATTAAAAGACCCGATAAAACTTAGTATAAAATTAAAGCACTAGAGATGTCATTCTGTCAAAAAAAAATCTTTTTTTTTTCTCTAAATCATATATACGTGAAATAAAGTTTTGGAGCCCCAAATTAACTAATAAAAGTATTTAATTTTGTTGCATTTGATATATTAATGTGAAACAGGGGAGACAATAAAAAGTTTTGTACGGTATTGGTGAACGAGAGCCTTTGTGGCACTACCATTGCCTACGTCTTTACAACTGCTTCCAGTGTCAGGTTTGTGTCCTTGTCTCTTCTTTAATTAATAATTACTAATTATTATTTTTGAAAGTCACTTGAAAAGACCGTAAAATTATGAAATTATAAATGAGATTTTTTGTTAAAAATTTGTTGTTATTTGCTTTTCAATTGTTGTCAAAATTCATACAAATTTTGTAAAGAATCCTGATTTGCAATTTTATAATTTTTACAGTCTTTTTTTTTTTCCGATTTTGTCATCATACTTGTTTACGGTGCAAGTTTTCATGATTGTCCTTTCAATGAAGAAGATTCATAAAGTCAGAGTATGCGTGATTTGATTATGAATCTATAACCCTTAATACTCCAAAATAGAATAAAGTGGGATGCATTTTCTTCCCTCTTAAAATTAAAATTGACTAGTTGACAAAGATATGGGGTGAAATTATTGGGCTTTTGTCTCTTGGGTTGAATAGAACGCAAGAGGTGGGCACTTGAATAAAATTATAAATAAATTTTAAACTTATTTTTTCTTTACAATGTTTGAATATATATATATAAAGACCCAATTTAATTTTAAATTATTTTTATCTAAATTATAAATTAATTTTTTAAAAATAATATATAATTTGGTTAGTTGATTTTTTTTTAAAAAAGACTAAATTATATGCTAGCCTTTTGTTTAAAAGAAAACATGTACATTTTAAAAATAAAAATGGATAATTCTATCGAATTTAAATGAGGTACTTGCAATTTGTAGTTCACTTTAAGTGGTTTTTGATTTAGTACTCTATTAAAAAAAAATACGAACACCAATTGATTTAATATTTGGGAATATTTTAGAAATTCTTGACATCTATTAGATAGTACTACCTCCGGTTCTAATTATAAGAGCCAGTTGACTAATTTGAGAAGATTAAAAAAGTAAGTTGAGTTAGTTATTTGTCCTAAATATGTGTTTTTTCCTAAAATATCTTTACTAATCAAATATATTGACTAGAACTATCATTGTTAAAAAGGCTACTTTGAAAAAATATATATAAATATTAGAGACAAAGTAGATTGGGGTCTTATATTTAGGATCAAAATAAAAATCAAATAAGACCTTAAGAACCGAAGATAATAGTATATATGACTGATAAAGAAACGCGGCACGCCCATGTGAGCCTTCGTCCTAGTGAGATTTTGTTTTCTTACAAAAAAAATAAATTTTATAATTTCACCCAAAAAAATTCAAAAAATATATAAAAAATAAGTATTCAATTATTCTAATGATTATTTTTCATAAATTATTTTTTCATAGATTCTTAGCATATTATATAAAGAAATGAGTAACCGTTTAAATTTTTGTACTTAACTATACAAAAAGGATGCAAAAATATGTTTAAAAGAATATCAAATAATCAGGATAGTGATACAAAAATTGATTTCCAATGTTTTTAAAGAAATAATTTATATGAATATTTAATAACAACATCATAATATTCAATTCCTTACCCAAAAAAATCATAATATTCATATTAATTTTTTTAATGTGTATAAATTTTTTTTAAAAGAATACCAACAATAAAAGTTTTCAATAGGGAAAAAAATTACAAATAATAAAACAAATTATTTGACAGTTCATTGGGTGCACATGAACATACCCTTGCCGGCGAAACAAGTCACATGAGAATAGCATAATAAAAGTAGAAACATGTTCCCCCAGGGCCCGCTGGGCCCGCCGTGGAGAGAGAACATATTTTGATGAAAGGGAAGAGGGAAAAAAATTTGGTTGCGTGTTACTTTAGTATGCACAGGAAAGGAAAATATTGAATTAAATAAATAAATAAATAAAATACAAAATTCCCAAATTATCCTCACACATTGGGAAGGATGTGGGGTATGGAGGATAGATGAGACCTTACCGACATGAGAAAACACCTTTTTACGTAGGAAAATAACTCTTCCTTGAGAAGTCAATGTTGCCTGCCCAACATGCCACACTAAGCAAAATTGACTATTTTGTTTTTCTATCCACAAATTTTCCTTATAACAACATATACCTAAGTTTCCCTTAGCTTTATAGGGGATTAGGTAAGGATTTGAAACCAAATCACTCCACTTATTTCAAACCAAAAATAAAAAAAAATAAAAATCAATTATTATGAATAAATGTTTTGTCTCCCTGCGAGACATTGGCCGCAGTAAAAAGAGCTTTAATTTGACAGCTTAAACATGAGATATTGAATTTGAGGTTATGTGAATGTAGAAAACGTCTTCAGAAATAAAACTATCTTCAATTGAATTCAGTAATACTTAAATCTGACCTGTCCTAATTAGATAGCCATATAAAAAATAAACTTTCTTCTTCTGGGTTTTGTGGTCATCAAGTGAATCAAATTTATAGCCAGATTATTTGGTTTTTTTCCCGCAATGTTCTTATTGGACTACGGTTGTTTTTTATTTTTTGGGGTAAATATTGGCTGGTTTAATTTATTATGGGAATTGTGAGGAAAATTTCAAAGAGGAGAGGTGTTAGCTGAATTATATGTACGAGCATTGCTTAGTCTGCATCTGTTGCGGCTCCTGACAAGTAAAGGTTACCCTCCCCAATGCATCATAACTTGTAAGTTTTAAATGCTGCAAATATCAAACACTGAGCAGCATTAAAATTCAATTTCACCTGAGAGATTTCTCTATCTTTCAAAATTCAACTTTGCTTCTTTTGATCTCAGTTCCTTGCAAAAGTTGAATATCTCATTGTGCCTTGAAAAGCTCAGTTATCATAAACAGCCTCTTTTTCTACCACATGCTCATTTACACTGCCCCCCCCCCCTCTCTCTCTATAGCTGCCATTTGTCCTCCCCTCTTTGAATGTGACTGTTCCAAATATTTGTCTGATCCATTTTTGTCCTAGGATAGATATTTCTCTCTCCTTCTTCCTTTCTTGAATCTTCTTTCTCACCTAAAGAGAATTAAGAAAAAAGAAAAAATCTCCAACCAAGAGATGAGACCTCTATTCCATTTATGGCACATAGCGGCCTGGAATTAAAACAAGCCAAGTGTCTGAGTCTCCCGTACATAACGGACAACATTATAAATGAATTCAAGGAGCATTATCAGAAGCAATAGTTAATCTTCTTTAGGTGCAGTTACCTCAGGCCTTTATATGAACCTCACATACTGTAACTATCTTCTTCTTCATTGTCTTCCACTCAGTTCTACACAGACATGGCAGTCCAAAACTCCCTCCAAATAACTTCTTCTTCTTCTAGTGCTAATGATGACGATGGACGTTCCAAGAGAACTGGTATAAACATCTCAACCTACCAGTTACCTTACAAAAACAATTCATGTTTCTTTGTACTTTTTGAATTTCATTCATTTCTTTCATTAATCTGTTCTTGTCAGGAACTGCATGGAGTGCTGTGTCTCATATCATTACTGCTATTATTGGTTCTGGTGTTCTGTCTCTGGCTTGGAGTGTTTCTCGGTTGGGTTGGATTGCAGGGCCTGTTTTCCTGCTTTTCTGTGCCATTGTCACCTATTTTTGTTCCATCCTCCTTTCTGATTGTTACAGAACTCTAGATCCTGTTTCTGGCAAGAGAAACTACTCTTATAGGGATGCTGTTAGGACCTACCTTGGTAGTAACTCTCCTTGCTTTTTTTAATCAAAATATTTATTTCGTAGACTTGGTTTGTAGATGAACAAAAATTGAAGAAGGCATTGAACCAACAATGGTATGATATTGTTGGTTATGTCTTTTAATCAGTGTAATTTTTTAGACCGATTTTCCTAAACTATAATAACAAAACTCCAACTAAACTATTTAACAATAGATGAAGTTCTGAAAAAACTTAGAGAAGTTATATCACTTGAACAAAACCCATGAACCAAATCTACTGAAACATCAGCATAATAAGCACTCCATTTTGCATAGGGTGTACAGTGAGTTTGTACTGTTCATGACTCATGAATGAAGCAGTTTCTTATACGTTTTATATGATATATTGATAGGTTTAGCTTAGTTATGATGCAAAACCAAATGAAAATAAATACGTGAACACTGCTAAGAATCATGGAGGAATGCCATTTGGGGTGGGGAGGAACATAATAAGTTATGAAACAGCAGGATAAGACCATCTTGTTCTTAGCAAAAGAGGACTTTCCGATCACGCAAGATTCAGCATGATTTAGTGGAACTTGCGTTCATGTCATGATTTGAACAAGTCTAAATATTTTGTGTAGGTTAATTTCTGGCTTTGCTTTGTTGTGGAACTGAGGGTATGCTTCTTCTTGGCAATCCCTATGTTTTTATACTTTCTGATGAGTTTAGTGTTAGTTCAGGACCAAAACGTACATGGTTGGCTGGTTTCTGTCAATATTTGAACTTGTGTGGGACTAGTATCGCTTACGTTATTACCACAGCAACCAGTCTGAGGTACATTCCTCTGCTGGAAAACAAAACTACCCCATTGCTATGCTATTTGCAATGTTTTGCAAATGACAAGTGATTAATTATTTTCATTGCTTGCTGTGCTATTTATAGACAATTTAACTTTGAACCTTATTCAGAGATGTTCATGTTCAAGTTCATTGCAATAATGCAGGGCAATTCTGAAGTCAAACTGTTATCACAAGTATGGACACCACGCTCGTTGTCACTATGGGGAAACCTTGTTCATGGTGCTGTTTGGAGTTGTACAGTTCTTTATGTCATTCATACCAGATCTCCATAATATGGCATGGGTTTCAATTGTTGCTGCAATTATGTCATTTTCATATTCTTTTATTGGACTAGGACTTGGAATTGCAAAAGTTATTGGTAAGATTCTTCTTTCCTTCCTTGTTCAGTCCGTTTAAGAATCAAAATTCTGCTCACCTGTCAATTTCAAGCTTATGATCAATCAATACATCGGTGTATCTGTAGTACTCTATAACAATTCACACTTCTTAAAAACCATGAACGGTATGGCTTTTTACTCTGTTGTAATGCACAGGAAAACGTGTTTAGTTAGAGAAAAGAACCACAAAGCTGACCTTTTATAGTTCTAGTTGCTTCAGAATCATGTCATAATGCGTTTATACTGCAATACTATCGGCCAAAAATGGGTTAAATTTTTTATTTAAAGCCGATTTCTAGCTTATCTATAGTGATTATATGCAGCATAACAGTGTTATCACACTAAATTATGTTGTTGACTTGGACATATTAAGGAGAATAATGATTGATAAGAGTGTTGTTTTCACCTGCAATTGCAGAAAATGGGACAATTAAGGGAAGCATAACAGGAGTACCAACTAGTAATGCTGTTGAAAAGCTATGGTTAGTGTTTCAAGCACTAGGTGACGTTGCCTTTGCCTATCCATACTCAGTCATTCTCCTTGAAATACAAGTAAGTTTCATATTCCGATTGGCTGGATGTAGAAAACAACACAGTTCCAAAACTGAAGGAAAGTGTTGAATTTTGTTGAGTGAAGGATACGTTGAAGTCTCCGCCACCTGAAAACCAGACCATGAAGAAGGCCTCCATGATATCAGTCCTTGTCACTACCTTCTTTTACCTTTGTTGTGGATGCTTTGGATATGCAGCATTTGGAAGCAATACGCCCGGAAACTTATTGACAGGCTTCGGCTTCTACGAGCCTTTCTGGCTTGTTGACTTTGCTAATGCTTGCATTGTTGTTCATTTGGTGGGAGGATATCAGGTACTTGTCTCGTGAACACTTAACAGAAACTGGTGTACTTTGTAGCGTGATTTCTTTGATGAATGTCTGTTTTTTCTTTCTTTTTTTTTTTTTCAGCCTGAGATTTCTCTGCAGATTTTAGTTTCTTTCTTTGTTTACTTCAAAAAGAGTTTAGCCAGAAAACAGTATTCTCCTTATTTTAAGTGTTAGAAGAACCACCTTGAAACAGAAACAAGAGAACTCCGTTGAGCAAGCTCAAAGTTTAATAATCAAATCATTTTAAATTTGTACCCAGAAACGAAGTAAAAAAAAGAAGAAGAAGAAAAAACTGCTTGTTTATGGAATTCATAGCTTCTCTTCACACCCACATCATTTTCCCCCTTATCTCCTCTGATTATATTGCATGCTGTCACAAAAACTAGTAAAAGTGAAAGAAAAAAAAAAAAGACTAAAGTTACTTTTTTAAAATAATCTCTAACTCTTCATATGATCATATCTGAGGCAGATAGCACCAAACCACCACTATACATGACATATAAAAATTATAGAAAACTGAATTATTTATGAGCCATTGATAATGCTGCTTACCTTAAAGTCCTTACCAAGTGCAAGCAGTACGGTCTAGTTTTTACTAATCACTGGCTGCTCTTTACACTGTCCAATAAATGATCATAAGCGATAATTATGGAGCTCCATAGAGTTTCTCTCAGGCGATTAATGGAGACTATTTTTTCAGTTTCAAAAGAAAACTCTGCATACATAAGGCTATTTGATTTCACTGTCTTCATAATCTTATTACTTAATACAGTCATAATGTGCTAATTCTTGTTGTTGTTATTGATGATGATGCTGTTATCAGATATACAGTCAACCAATATATGCTGCTGCTGATAGATATAGTTCTAGAAGGTTCCCAAACAGTACCTTTGTAAACAAAGTTTACCAAGTGAAACTCCCTCTCTTGCCTGTGTTTCAGCTGAGTCTGTTCAGGCTCTGTTTCAGAACAGTGTATGTGATTTTCACCACAGGCATAGGCATCCTCTTCCCTTACTTCAACCAGGTCCTGGGAGTTTTAGGAGCTTTGAACTTTTGGCCTTTGACCGTATACTTTCCTGTGGAGATGTACTTTGTGCAGAAGAAAATTGGTGCTTGGACTACAAAATGGATTGTTCTTAGATCCTTTAGTTTTGTCTGCTTCATTATAAGTGTCTTGGGACTTGCTGGGTCTATTGAAGGAATCATCAAGGCGAAACTCAGCTCATAGGATACGAAGAAGATCAGTTATTCTACTTTGCGCTGAAGTTGATGCTCCTATGAAAGGTAATCCTATTCGAAGTACTGTCGGGTACTAAATGTAAGCACCTTTTTCAGCGGGGATTCGAACCTTGGTTCGCTATGTTATGAGAGACTAACCCCTTCCACTAGACCCAACTCCTGTTGGTATATCACACTGAAATTGCTCGTATACTTTGAATAACTTTGTAAGCCTACCTTGTACACTCTTATAGATTTTTATTGAGAGAATCAGAAAAGAATATAATCACATAAAAAGCCCAAATAACAAGCGAGTACCATGAATTTGTTATCATTTATTGCGTCGAAACTTATCATTGTATATTGCTCGTTTATTATAAGATTTTTTTTAGTGATTACATTTCTTTATCGAGTCCTCATAATGATTATGGTTTTATTCATAGGTTTAAATGGGAAAAAAAATATTTTGAGACGTCTGTTTAATTTGTTTAATTAGGATGAATTGGCACGATTTTTCTATTTAATAGGACAGAATATCATGAATTGCATACAATTCAAATCTCTAATATAAATAATAAATCTAAAATAAATGGTAAATTGTGACTTGTTCTTCAAATGGAAACATGAATAGCTAACTAACAAACTATTAGTTGAAATGGTAAGCGGTCTCACCCCATAAGTTTGAATCCCAAGAAGCTCACTTATTGGAAGACCTTTAACCTTACATTCCCAGTTTGACAGAGATTAGTTTCAAATCCAAAGTGACTTGAAGATATTCTAAATTCTCAAAAAAAAAAAAATGAATAGCTAAACTTATAGCTGAAGAATCATAAATAGTGTTAATTTTTTACACAGTGTCATTAAAAAAATTAAGTATTTCTTTTTTTTTTTGTCAGAAAAATTATGTATTTCATATAATCTATTTTAAGTCATGGCCTAGCTAAGGACCAGCTCAATTAATATTATCCCACGTATATAATAATTAGTTAATATTAATTGAGTATCAATTTTTAATATTTCTTGCCATCATCAATTATTAATAGGAAAAATCCCAAAAAAAGTCCTTGGAATATGGAAAATGCTAGATTGGGTCCTTAAATTTCGAAAATGACAGAATGGATCATTGACCCAATCTGTCATTTGTGAAATTCAGGCGAATTAACAATTTTGCCCTCATTTATTCATTCACTACAATGATTCAAGGAATCACTATAAGAGTTTAGGTGTTACCTAAATTCGTGTAGCGAATAACTACTCACTTTTTCATAGTCAGGTGTCTTGTTATTAATTAACTACAACTAATTCTGTAATCACTAGAACAATGTAAGCATTACCTAGATTTGTGTAGAGAATAACTATTCATTTTTTCGTAGTCAGGTATCTTATTATTGTCAGGTACCTTATTATTAACTATAACGAATCTTGTAATCACTAGAACAGTGTAAGCATTACCTAGATTTGTTTAGAGAATAACTACTCACTTTTGCTCAGGGGCAAAAATGTCAATTCGCCTGAATTTCACAAATGACAGATTGGGTCAATGACCCATTTTGTCATTTTCGAAATTTAAGGACCCGATATGGGATTTGGTATATTTCAAGGGCTTTTTCTGGGATTTTCCCTTATTAATATTTTAATACTACAAAATTTCAAAAATTTATTGAGTGAACAGGAAGGTGTGCTTCCAAGAGCCATTTCAAGCTGTCGACTCAGGACAGGCTCACTCTTCCATCTTAATCTTCCACCTAATTTACTGTTTGATCTTACTTGGAGTCCATATAAGATATATAAACTCTCTTGTAACAAGTAATAAATAGGCTTAAATCTGGCTTGTGACCTATTATATTTATGGGCCTTTTTTTCAGCCTGAGCTTGACTTGTACAAAGACTTGACTTGGCCTGAAATCTGTTCCAAAAACCTATATTTTTTTTAAAAAAATTCACCAAGTACAAAATTTTTTTATCTCAAATAAAAAAGGAGGTTCTTTATAATAATTCTTATTAATAATAATAAGCTATCAACAGTATAATTTACTCTAAAACTTCATATAAATTTACATATTTCAAGATACTATTAAAATAATATAAAAGCCAGTGAATTACAATTGTAACCGTGAGTGGCATGAAACACCTATGATTCTAACAATTGAATTGGAAAGAAAAATGATGATGAAATCATTGATGTTCGCAAAACCTTTGGCATATATATCTCATAAATTTCTTATTTTTTATTGTTTTATTTGTTAAATATATTTTTGTGTTTTTTCTTTACGGAACCAGATAGACCTTGGAAAGTAACAAATACGATTGGAAGGGATTCTTTTATGTGAGAAAATAGCAAAAATTTCATGCCACCCGCATAGGTCTCTATCAAAATAGTCCTCTTAATACAAAAAAAAAAAAATCTTAGGGGTAAGTTAGAGTAATTAACTATAAATTAAAATTATAACTTATACAAGAAAAATTAAAATTGTAACAGGTCTAGACCAACCTAACAGTCTTAGTAAGCCTCGCAGAGAGCCTACATCTAGCTTGGTAAGAAAAACATACCTTTAAAAAGACATGGATCTATTCCTATTTTCAAACAAGCCAAGCCAAATACAAGCCAAGCCACAGACCCCTGGCCTATTTTCACCCCTAATGATAAGTAGGCTTTTGTTGGATTAAATTTTAAAATTTGAGATACTACTTCTGGTCTTTAATAAAAGAGTTAATTTAACATTTAATTTAGTTTTAAATATAGGGCCCATTTAACTAATTGCACATGTTAAATGTTCTATCAAATGTCTAATTAATACACATGATTAGCAAGGATATTTTAAAAAAGATAATGCTCCTCTAGTCTTTAATATAAGACCCATTTAACTAATTTGATTAGATTAAGAAAGTTAGGTAAGTTAGTTAATTATAAGAAATATGACACACTTTTTTTTTCTAAAATACCATAATTATCTTTCTTAATACCCACTTTTCCTTTTCTACTTGATTATAGTTGAGAGAGTATCTATAGGGGTAATTTAGAGAAAATTGATAAATATGAGAAATGAGTCTTATATTTAGGACCAAAATCAACTCAATAATTGGGTCCTATATTAAGGACCAGAAGAGTACATATTTATTACAAATAACTAACTTAACAAACTTATTTAATCTACTCAAATTAATTAACTAACTCTTATACCAAAAACTAGAAGTAATATCTACAATGGTAAAATATATATTCATCGGATTATATTCATCAAGCCCAATTCTTCTGTTGGCAAAAAAAAAAAAACCGAATCCAATCAAAAGTATATATTTTAGCTCTTTAGCTTTATACAACATTTGGGTTTTAAAAAAAAAAAATAATGATTATGATTATTTTGAAAATTATACTTAAAATAAATGACTGTATGTGGATTTTTTTTGTCGGGATTCTACTATGTTTCGTCAAAAAGAGAAAATCATTAATGGATGATCTGAGCTGTGTGGTGCAGGAGAATTGTCTTTATTGCCGGGGAAAATGACATTTTCAAATTTATACATTGAATATATTTGGACTGAAAAAATTCTTCTAAATCCTAATTATCTCTTGAACGGACAAGTCATTGATATGGATGGTGACAAAGCAAAGGGATAAAATAATGCTGACAAAACATAAATAATACTACTATGTTTTTAGAAAAGAGATTATATTATATATTGTATTTTTATATTAATTAATAAAATTTTCATATAATTATGTCATAACGTTTGAACCCCAATATGAATTAATAAAAATTGAATTTCTTTTACTTGTTCAAAAGATGAAAATGACACAGTTCCATAAATATGTAATCCAAGGCCATGAACATAAACATGTTGATATTGTTAAATTAGGTGTTGTAATAGGAGTTTTTATTAACCCAAGGTTCTACTTGTGATGATGAGGAGGAGGATTAGAATTTAAATTTGAGTGTTATCAAGAATTTAATCAAAATTGAAGACATTTTATGATGTGTTGTATTTTTATTTTTTAGTCATCTTTAGAGAATTATAATTTAAGCTAAATTATGTAAAATGTCCCCAAGCTTATATGATACTCCTCCTGTTCTTAATATATAATCTAATTGTTAAGTTAATTTTGATCCTAAATATAAGACATATTTATCAATTTTTTCTAACTTATCCCTATAGATATTCTCTGAACCATAATCAAGTAAGTGAGGGAGGAAAGATATTAAGAAAGATGATTATGGTATTTTAGAAAAAACATGTTATATTTCTTATAATTAACTAATTTGTCTAACTTCCTTAATACAATCAAATTAGTTAAAAAGATCTTATATTAAGCACCAAAAAGAATATATAAATATTCTTCCTATCTTCCGAAGCTTCGCAATAAACTTCTATAAATTTTTACATTTATGCAGAAACTCTCATACTACTAGGTTTTTTCTTTATTTTTGTCCAGATGACTTAAAGTCTAGAAGGTTCACTTGCATATAACTCAAAGTTTGAGGACACTATATGCATATAAAAATAAAGTTTAAAGGGACAATTTAGAGAAGATTATTATAAAATTTTGAATTTTAGAAAAGTTATTTACATATGAAAATGACAATGTCTATGAGATTAAAAAGAAAAACTTGGAAAAAAAATTGGCGTAATTTGGCATACAATTAATATGTTGTGTTTATATTTACATTTAGACATAAAATTTGGGGTTAATATAATTTTGTCCCCTTAAATTTGCCATCATTTTATGTTGGTTTTGACCCCTCAACTTTCAAACCACATGTTTTGGCCTATCAAATTTCTTTCCATTCAAAATATTAACATCTATAATTTAATAAAAACATGAACTATTTTGCTTTTTAAAAAACTGAAACCCATAGTTTAAAATTTGAAAAACTAAAATCAAAATGAAAATGAATCTGAGAGAGCGATGATTATATCAATCCTAAAATTTAGGAGGTTTTCTACAATTTAGTCCCTTCTTTTGAGCTCTTATGAATTGAAGCTAGTCATAATATCAGTCCATTCTCCAACTCCTGATTTTTTTATAACCGCAGAGGATTCATGAACGTTCATCGACATGGACAGTGACAAGGTTGAGGCCAATGAAAAATGATGCGGAAGCAGAGAGATGATAAGAGAATCAAAAAGAGGAAGAAGAATGATGACAAATGGACAAACATGTGTGAAGATATTTCCAGAAAGTCGCCGAAAGCCAACACAGAGACAGAGGCCGAAGTGTTATCAAACTTCTCCTTTGATTTTTCTTCCTTTTTTTTTTTGGCTGCCGTCGTATGGTCTGCTGTCCTTTTCACCTCCTCACCTTACCTTCTCAAATCAAGAAAAAATTCCTAGATA